CTGTTGCTGTTGCTGTTGCTGTTGCTGTTGTTGTTGTCGTCGTTGTCGTCGTCGATGGTGTTTTTGTTGTTGCTGCTGCTGCTGTTGGTCTTGTGTTTGTGTTTGTTCTTGTTTTTGGCCTTTGTTATTGTTATTGTCATTGTCGCCGTTGCCGCTGCTGTTGTTTTTGTTGTTGTTGTTGTTGTTGTCGTCGCGAAACGATGACGACTCGTGGCTTATCAACATGCAGACCCTGTGGACTTCCACCAAAGCACCGATTTTCAGACGTATCGAGGCTTGGCACCTCACCCGCGATACCCGTGCGGCGCCCAGAGGGTCAAGACTTGCTCGTGTTGGCTGTTCCCCTTGTCGAGCATTAGTTAGTCGTTTTAAGAGTTTTCTTGCTTGCCACAGCTAGTGAGTAAGGGCTATATGTCAGTCATTCCCAGGACCTTGGGGCCAAATTTTGGAAAATATGGGTTCCCATAAAACGGCCAGCCATGGTGTCAAGATTTGTCGAAGCGTGCATGGCCATCAGGCCAGAGGGCAAGGGCTAGATGGAGTGTCTTCACAGCCCCAACGTGTGTGGAATTCCAGTGCATGGTGTTCAATTGCTTTGATGCGGGACGCATTGCTCTTGCCATCCAATGGATTGGCAGGATCGCAGAAAGCAATTGCAATGCCTATTGAGCTGGCTCAACAGTCTGTGCTATCCAGGTATCTGCCTTTCCCCACGCAGACTGAATCAAGGAGTGCCTATGGGCAAACATTCGGCTGGCCATCCAACTGACCAACTTGCGACCTAGGCCGCATGGACTTCCGCGAAAAGCCCCAGACCCGCGCCTGGCTGCGCCGCTGAGGGAAGCGCCGGGGTTTCGGAAGTTCCGGAAGCGCCCCGGGGGGCAGAGGACGCCCTGCCTGATGTGTGTATTGTTGTTCATAGACAGAAGAAGCACAAGGCATAAGGCAATTGCAAGCAACGCATAAGGCGAACTTCAAGAGAACTCGTGTTGTCTGAATTTGACGGGCTTCGCACGGGCGCAAGCAGAGCCAATCCCTTGGAAGGGTCACAAACGGGTCCTTTCTATTTGACTCAGGTCCTATTTGATCTTGTTATCGAGATAAAGGTCTCCTTTTCGGGCTCCACAGTGAAAGCGTCACCACACTGGTTGGGAACCATCGTGCGTTCACCTGAAAGTGGGGGATGCTCACGGGACATGTGAGAAGGGACATGACATGGAGGAATGTCGATCACCAAGTTATCAGGACTCCGGGGCGGGGGTGCTCATACCACCAAGTTCCAATGTCAGCGGAATTTTGCAATTAGGGGCTGAGGGTCCATTAGTGGAGACAAGTTGGTACGTGTCTTGAAGAGGATTCAACGTATAGCATGGGCCGGCCCACCTGTGTGATGAAGGGCCCCCTTTATTGTTGTGAAGCGAGATTGAATTGATCGAAGAATAGATTGGCTGAGCACTGGATTGTGATTGTGGTTATTGGTTCTCTGTTTGCGTACACACCTCGACTTCATTGAAGGAAAGTGATTTTTGCTTTGTTTGATTCCAGAGGACCGGCTTCTCCCCCCGCAGTCTAAGGGCCAGCCCCGGATACGAAGAGCCGGCACCCGACCAACCCTGCCACTTGTTCAAAGGGTTGGCAAGCAGCTTCGGGTGTAGTGCAGGGCAGAAGATACCCGCAAAAGATGCCGGGTAAGAATGTCACGGCAAACTTCCAGCGAGTTCCGCAATCGCCCGAGATACAACCGACATATGCCTCATCGAGGCATTGTGGGCTTTAGTTGCGTGACCTTGCTCGTCATGCCCGTTTAAGCCTTCGGGCTTGCCGATTTAAGCCTCCAGCAAACTTTTTGTGGCTGTTGGCAAATCGGCCAGTTGGGGAAAGCCAATGGCAGCCCAGCTCCAAAATTTTCAGTAGGACCATAGGACGTAGGGTGGCTTGCTGCTTGCCGGCAACTATGCAAGCAAGGCCAACATGTCTTAAAGGGCCCAGCCCAGCGTCGGCAGGTGTCAGAAGTTTCTGCTTGCTTTGAGCACGGCTTCAATGCAGCATTCAGGCCAGAGTGTGCATTGGTTATGCCCAGCTTGGCAGGTAGTGCGGCGAACCTTCTCCGGCATTGTAACAGGATTGTTAAACCCAATCACCAGATTTGTTCGAACACATGCAGTATCTTGCAGACCTCGAAGTCTTGGGCTTTGAAATATAAAGATCTGATTAACTACACATTCCTAGTTTAGGCCCTAGGAACTGCTTTTAGTTCGGTAGGTAATCCCAGCGGAGAAGCTGTAGCTCAAGCATGCAGCGAGCTCTGCTGACGCACGGTTCGGGAGCACCAGCCAGGGACCTCAATGCCACAGTAAACATTGATTGGTGGAGGGTATTAATTATGAATCATACTGCGGATGGACCAAAACCCTGCGCCAGTCGGTAGGTGGTTTATCTCGTATTCATTGGCTTTCATCCATCCCAACTGGTGCAGGGTTTTGTCCATCCAGAGCAGGTGAACATGCTTGGCAGGCAAGGTCGTACCAGTTTGTTGAGTCGGTTTGTATTCACTCTGAACTTGGTGGGTACTGCGCTGGTGTTCTTTCCGTAGGCTCTGCACTCACGTGCAGCTTAAACAGCGCTTCAGTGTGTCTGCAACTCGCTGAAGCTACTATAGCTCTGCGAAAGGAGCACTTGTGCCATAGGTTCTATGACTCCGCATCAGTTTGATCGGACGTTCGATGATATATGCACAGCACATGCCTGCCCGAGGTCATTTGCGTTTGCATTTGCATTGCCACACCGCAACTTGATTCCAAGCCGCTTCTGCGCACAAGGGGACCTTCGATGGTCAGGCATGCACGCAGACTCGGCTTGGGGTCTTGCGGATTGGATTTGGGCAAACTGCCCAAATTGTATACCCGTGGTTACATAGGCATGGTCTTTTGGTCTTTTGGCCAGGCTCCAGAGATTTGATATGGATTGCTTCTGGTCGCAAATTCACTGAGCGGGTAAGCCACCAATCGAACGATTGCTAGGGCATCGCTGTTTCCACTTGAAAACTCTTAGATCAAGCCGGGCAACTTCAGACGAACTGTCTTTTGGTACATGTAAATAGCAGAGGAGCGCTTTATCTCCTCCTTGCATCGGCTTCATGGGATGTCTATGGCTACATCCTGCAGAGTTGTGCGAGAGAATAGAGGAATGGAGCCGGCAAGCTATGCAAGCTTCCACCCGGAATGTGCGCATAAAATCTTTGAAATTTCTTTTTCCCAGCGCAAAGCTGCTCGTTTGAACACCCAATAGGGAGGGATGCCTCTCCGCACGCGCTCACAGATGGCGTGGAGAGCACTGGAGAGATCCCAATGGTGTGCCTGCGGAGGATTGCGGAGGGCTTGACCCATTGGGATGATGTGTGTGTGTGTGTGTTGCCCAAAGTACGGTACCCCCAAAACTGGCACGTTCCTTTTGGGTGTCCCTTCAACTATTCAAGGGCATCAGGTGGATTGCTTGGAGGAGTGGATGATACATTCCACTTGCCTCATCCCCTAAGAATGCGTGGTTTATATTACGAACATATAAACATTATTACCTGCACATCCGGCAAACAACCCACCTGACCATTGACAACGCCCTTGAACCATTTGAAACCCCCGATGCAGTTTGGCAATTTGCATGGGGTGCCTAGTTTTGACACGCAGCCCAACGACAGGCCTGCACCCCTTTGGCGGACCCTTTGGTTGCGGTTCCGGCCATCCCATGGTTATCACACGACTGCTGAAGGCCCAAGTCCCAAAAGAGACAAATAGCGACGAGGCTTTTGATGAGGTCTTATCATGGTTTTTGTTGGGGGGGGGGAGGGGAGTGGCACTGTTGTACTCCGCAGGACGCTGAGGGATCTAGCAGTTTTTACAAGCAAAGGCTTCATTTGCTCAGAAGCCAGTCTGGAGCTGACCGTTGAGGTCGGAATGAAATGCCTGGGCCACTTCCAGGGTAGGTTTCGGAAGTTGGGTTTGTGTATCGACCCGGCCGCTCTCGGATAGCCCAGACCGGCGCTTTGCCGCACGGGATTGGATCGTTGCCTTGGACGCGGCGATCTGTCGGCCGACCCTGAGAGTAGTCTCAAAGCTCGATCAAAACGACCTCGAAGCGTGTGCGCATCCAGCCTGGCCCAGATCAAAGAGCCACTTTGAGGTCGCTTTGATGGGGGGCAGAAGTGATTAATCGCGGCTTGAAAACGTGCTGACTGCTTTTCTTGTCGATGGTGGAGTTAAGATTGGAGGGCTTCAACGAGTCATTTCAGCCCATGGTAAGCAAAAGCTGAGCTACCGGATTTGCTGTGGGTGAGCTGTTCAGGCAAATCATTTGGGATCATTTGGGGACCAACGTGAAGGAAATCATGCCCTCAGCCGAACTATGGTGCGGATCGCACATGGCGATGCCTTGCCACTTTCAACTTGGATATTTGTCCGGGCTATTCCGGCTATTCCTGTGCCACTCGCGTTTTGAACAAGCATTACATTCCGGCATTCCACTTAACCATTTGGAGATTTCACTAGCTACTGCTTGAAATATTTCCCGGATGCCTCCACAAATGTTAATTGTAGGTGTTCACCTGGCTTGGTGACCTTGGTTGTATCTACATTTATTCATTTATGTATTATATACATGTATTCATATAATATATATGCACATGATATATATATATATATAATATTCATACATATTGCCAGGAGCCCCTCTGTAGCACATGTGAACAGCAACTGTTGCAAGCGGGGGGCCTTGTTCGGCTAAGTTTCAAGGTCGATGCGCTCTCGCGCAAGACACACATGCCATTTGTGACCTCCACAATGCCGGGTTAAGGGTCGGTAGGGAGCTGTTGGCTGACGGTAGCTGCCATGTACAAACATGCTCCATTCCACGCGACGCATCTCCAGACGTTGAGCTTTGGCCAGCATGGCATCCCTCGTTTTCGCACCCCCAAAGGGCCTGTGCTTAAAGCAAGCAGACATGGATAGGCAGTGATCCAGTACGTGGGCGGCTACGCGGGCTTGACGGCCGCATCCTGAGTTTCTTTGCGCAGGCTTGATCACGTTGGCCCCCATGATACCGAGTGCCACTCCCTCCATGCCTGATTTTTTGTCAGATCTTGCCAGCGTCGGGACAAGTGTTGTGCATCCGGAAGTACTCGGCTTGTTCGTTGTGGGCTGTGCATGGAGACGCTATTCTGTCAACAGCTTTAGTTGCAAAGGCGTTGCTCGGTGGTTCATCCTCCCCCCAACAAAATCACTGAAGCTCTTACACCTTGTTCGTAGGCTTGCAGGTCTCAGGAAGATATGGCAAGCTGGTGTAGGGTCGCAGACTTGCCTGGGTCAAATTCGGTGGGAAGCCCCAGTTTAGGAAAAGCGATTTTGGTCAACTCGCAGTGACGAATTGTGAGGTCGCGTTCTTTTGCCCCACGATTCTGCTCTACAAGCCGCACGCTCAGAGCCTCTGGTCAGATTTGGTACTCGCCCACGACCACGTTATGCACTCGCAGCTTTTTGTTTCCTTTTTTTGATAGGTTCCCCATTGAAAAATGTTAATCCCCCCACAAGAGGGTTCCTCTTGCTACCAGCTTTGGCCTAGCTCGCTTTGTGTTTCCTAAAACGGTGGTCCTCACACACGGGTGCGATCAGGAAGCTTTGAACTCCGTGCTTCTTGGCTGATGGTCAGCCCGTCTAGGACTCCGAAGATCAGAAACCCAACTGAATCAGGGAGCGCCAGGGTTGCTAAGAGCCTATAGAACATGACCACCCAAGTAGAAACATGGCTTCATTCGACCGGCCCTGAATTTCTATCCCTGTGCCGATCAGATCAGAGAGATCACCCCGCACGCAACAGGGGCGGAGATTGCAGTTCTGATACCCAGGGCAGAGGTTTATAGCAAGTCCACTTCGGAAGTCATTTACAACCTGGCAAGTGATTGGGTTGACGCTGGCCACAGCCATGCGAGGTCATCCTCGGGATGTCTTGCACGTCAGAGGGCTGGTTCAAATAGAAAGTCATTGCCCCTCCTAGGTCCTCAAGCTTTCACGTTCGCCTAAACGCGGGTACTTGCACATTTGTGTTGCTTGTCATCCCAGAATCCCACGATGACATGGGTGTAAATGGTCCACGGATTGGATGCCAAGCATCGCGTTTGGATTTGTTTGGGGATTATGGACCGTGGCATTAGGTGTTTTTCTATGATTTTCTATGCACGAGGGCGCTCCTGTAGAACAATATGGCTGTGGGTCAACAATAGGGTAACCCCAAAATTGAACCCTGGTAAATGGAAACATGGAATTAAACCTGCGGTCCCCCGGTGATTTAGTTTTGACCCATACCCATATAAAAATATGTCTTCCAGCAGCGGTGCATCTCATAGTTGGTTGCTTGGCTTGAAATGGTAACAGTCGGGCACGGAGAATTGTGGCAAAGTGGCGCCTTTGAGCTTGCAAAGTTCCGGCCAGGGTTCTCCCTTTGACCATCTCTGATCACAAATCCCAGAACGAATGATGTTGTTCTAGACGCACCACCGATGAAGATGGCCATCCAAGTAGCCTTGAGCTCCGGCCGTGTCCCCCAGCCGTGTCCTTTTGACTTGTTTCCATGGCTCACGTGAGAAAGCCGCAGGTCATGTGCAGTGCCCCCAACGTCTGTTCACCCCGTGGACTCCTGCGGACACACAAGACACGTGAGCAAGCAGACTTGCAAGACCTCGAGGTTTAAGCCGACGTTGGATCTCAGGTGCCGACAGGCCTTGAAGCTGGATGACATGGACGCGCCGGCCGGGCCCGGATTGGACAGACCCATAACGGGAGACGCGTAGCCGCCGAAGCATTGGGATGTCTCCTAAAGTTTTATGGACCCTGTTCGCGCTCATGTGAGCGGACCCAGGGGACAACCAAGCCTTCAGCTCAGCCCACATTGGGTCCCAGGGGATGCCTGGAGCTGTTTGGGCCCAATTTCTTTGATCTCTGGGCATGGACATATGCGTGGGGGCTCAACATCAATCCTTGTTTCTGCCAGATGATTGTGGCTTCCCTTGTAGTGTTGTCCTGCGGATCGTGGCTGATTGCGGATTGGGTTAAATGCCCCCCCCCCCATTTTGACCAAACCAGTATGTATATACACAAACATGTTTGTGTACGCACATATAGACATCATTAGCCTAAGAACATACTCAATTCTTTTTGGGGAGTACTAATTTGCAGAAGAATCTGCTTTTCTGCTTTTGACAGGCTTTGCTAAAGATTCCGTGTTTATCTTTAGGAGAGTTGTTGCCAGCGTGTCTACTGGTGTTGGACCAAGCGGAACCAAGCTTTGTAGCGGTTGAGAGGCTTGACCAGCAAAGGTGTCCTTTTTAGGTTGTTTTGATAGACAAATAGATGGCCCTGGTTTACCTGGTGGTGCAGTCATCTACCAGGGCCATCTATTTCCGCTGTTGACCAGTCTCATCTTGTTCTTGGCTCCTTGAACCGACAGGCCTGCTTCTTGACAGCGGATTCCTTGGAGGATGTTGATCGCATTGCATTTGCTTGTCCCTGCCGGATGTTTGGGCGAACTACCCAGGTTTGCATGGAGCAGAAATGACCGGGGAAACACCACAACTGGCACTGAGCATCTTTTGCTCTATTTTCTGATATTCCCCTTAGTGGGTGGTTTGGATTGGTGGTTTGGAGGTTTGGAACCCTGGTTCTTGTGGTGAAACCAAGCCTTAACCTCCAACAACCAATCCGAGCCACCCTTTTCGAGGGAAGCTGATGCACTTTTTCCCGTGATCCTGCCCTTCTTCAGCCATGAGCAACATTGTTCCACAACCAGTCTCCCTTTTTCCCTTTCTTGTTGGTGGCTGCCTCACTAAAAATGGTCTTCCCCAAAAAGAGTTCCCTTTTTTCCCAGGGTCACTGAACAACTGAGCAGTTGTTCAGCGGCGCTCTCTACATTGGTCAATCCTTCGACGGGTTCCCTTTTTGTACCAGTGTCCCTGGGCAACTGGGCTCCAAATATGTCCCAGCTCACTTAGTCGTTATGAAGAGATAGAATGCTAGGAACAACACGTACTCTGGGCGTGTCTTTCTTAGGGGAATTTTCTAAATGGTGTTTGTTTTTGCCTGTTGGTTTCCCTTTAAAACACAAAACCAAGGGGCCACCCTGACCGAAATTAGGAGTTCACGAACCACTCATACTACGCTTAGCTCGAAGCAGAAGCGAAGCCCCCGCCCCGCCCCCTCCCGGCAGGCGGATCGACCGTTGAAGTCCTCCTTCGCCAACCGCTTCGGGTACACCTTGGCAGCTTGGACGGGTTCCCCGCCGCTTCGGGGGAGGGTTTGGACGGATCAACGCTACACAAATCATTTCGGGGGTGAAGGGACCTCGCGGCTCATGCGGTGTACTTCTTGTTTGGAAACAATGGGTAGAAAGTGGATGTCGGGTCCATTGGTTTTCCTTGGGGCCAAGTTTCTGCCATGGTGACAAGTTCCTTCGAGCAACATGGAGCAACCTTGTTGAAGGAAACCGCTGTGCCAGGAAACAATCAGGATTTGCGGCGGTGTGATTGACAACTCTTCAGAATCAGCCACTTCCACATACCACAGAGATCTTGTTTTCCTGACTGTCGAGAAGCAACAATCGACTCCCTGGTCGTGTTGTTTTGCTGAAGTCATTTTGTCCCCAAATCCGATCATGAATCATGGGAGGGTTTGGGTGTGAAGCCTCTTGTTCCTTGTTCCTTCCCAAATTGTCAGAGCTGCTTCGCTTTGACAAAATGCCCTTCACTTGAAAATTGGCGGAGATGTCTATCCGGGGTGCTTTTCCCACGGATGTGCGGCATGAATCCATGTCCGTTCACCCCTGGAAGAATTTAATACCAAGGAGGTTCCCTGAGTTTCAGTCTTTCGCAACCAAACATTCAGGTCTACTGCTCCTATGCCATTGCGCTCTACATGGTCACGCTCAAGCTCTTCTTCACCTGAGTTGCGGGCACTGTTTCGCATTTTTGGAACGGGATGTTCGCTTGCAGCAGGCCTTCGGCCCTCGCTGGCCCACGCTCGAAGGCTGGGCGTGGGCGATGGCGGGAGGTGCTGATTGATTTGAAGCAGCGACCAGCTGCTTTGATCTCATGGAAGGGTCGCCCGCGCCGCCGGGGAAGGGGGTGAGAATCGGGGGTTCAGTGGCGCTCCAATCTGGTGAGTTTCCTGTGAACTTCCTTTTCCATCCAAAAGGGGGTCCCTGGACCTTCAAACTACCCTGAAAAATGGGATTAGTTTGTAAACATATGAGACGAAACACACTTTTTCAAGGGTAGTGTGAGGGTCCAGGTCCCAAACTTCAGGACCCCGGTTTTCCCCACCTCGAGCGATTGCGCCGACGGATGACTCTAGAGCGACACAGAAAGTGGGGCGCGGGGCGTGGGCTGAACGCAGAAAGGCTGACAGGGGCTTCCCTCCTTGGAATCGGGTTCAAGGGCGTGGATCCTCTAGGTGGCAGGTACGGTAATTCAGTAGTCAAAGGGATCCCACCTTGGTATCACCAAAGAGGGCGTTGAGTCTCACACCCGGGGACACCGATTCTCCAGCTTGACAAAGGCACCGAAGTGGTCAACCATACTAGCCAGGCAGCCCACAAAAATGACAAATGGGCCTCCCGTTGAGCAAGGCAAGCACGGCATCATTCGTTTCGTTTCAGCTCGTGAAGTTGTCGCTCCATTCGGACAAGAACCAGGGTGTTGGGCGTTGAGCAGCGAATGCATACTACTGGAACTGCAAAGAGATCTGGGCTCTTGTCGTAGAGTTTTGTTTACTCTTTTCCGAGTTGCGGAATCGTGTGCACTGGCTGCTGCATTTGTAGTTACACCTCTCTCACTTGATCTTGCTTGTCAAAAGCAAACCGTTTGACCTTCCTGTATCCCTTGACCCACGAGCCTTCCTCTTGTTGTTGTCCTTCCGTTTCTTCCATTTGCTTAAGGATCTTGTTTATTTTCCCTGTTGAATTGAAAGTGAATTAGTCACTACTCGACATATTTTTCTGTTTTCCAGGGGACTTAAGCGCACGGATGTCTTTTTTCTCATGTCCGCGCCCGATTCTTGAGGTACTTCCGCTGCCCTCCGGAGCATGGAATTTTCGTCCGACCCCCCATGGCCTTGGCCCCAGTCAATGTGATGGCTGGTGGCCCTGGTTTCATTAGACTCGGTTCAGATCGGCCCAATTCAACCAGCAAACCCTTCATCTTTTTGCAGGGACATTAGGGCCCTCCCCAGGCTCTCAGAACCCTTCCTGTTCTTAACCCCTTCCGAGAAGGTCCGAAGAGCTTGTTTACTGCGAACCCTAATCTTATGGATTTGGACAACCATTCCAGGGGCTCTCAGAAAGACCATGGATTGAGCTGCGGAAAGAGCTCCACCCATGACTCCAGACTTCGAAGAGGCGGAAAGAACAATGATGGCATTGTCTCTACCCTACACACTAAGGCTCACTTCTTGCAAACAGGGCATGAGCGTGTTTTTCAGGCATCTGGCAGTTTTTTTGTTCTTTTCCGATTGAGTTTTCCAAGGTCTCATCAAGGTGTTTTCGGAGCAGCGAGCCATTGGACTTGTTTGGCATTTTCGCCGCATTTTCTCTTTGTCTCGAGATGTTCTTCCCTCCCGAGCCCAGAGCCATCTAACTTGCATCTGAACCATGGGATGGTCACAGTGTATCAAGAAGCCGCCAGGTGATGCCTGAATCAGCGAGCAGTGCTCGGAATGGCATCACTCGGAGACATCACTTGGCGGAATTGGCATTGCTTCACTTCCTCATAGCGAACAGAGTCAAATTGGGGGAGACTTCTTCGGCCGATTGGCCAGCAGAAAGCGAGGGGCTTTCTGGGGACTCAGGTCGCACTCACCGAAGAGGGCCCAGGCCTTGGGAGGTTTGTGTCGAGTGAACCTGTCCTTTTGAACGCACGGGTCTGTCTTTTTTTTGGAGGGCCCTTTTTAAGGTGGTTTTGAAGGAAAACCAAAAGAAGAACCACACATAATGGGCGGGGGGCCAGAATCTAGAAAGTGACACACCCACATGGATGGCACTTGTAAATTGGAGCCAAAACGAAACCAGTTCCATCCTCAAGCAACAAGGCGCCTATGGTGGGACCACTTTCACGCAAGGGACCCAACTTGAGACAAGCCACTTAGAGGGATGCTCGTATTTGACACATTCCCAATATTCGTCTAGCATTGGCTTCGCTGAGGTAGAGCTGAGAAGAGACAACGTGTCGGTGATTGGCGTTTCATGTCGCATGTATTAGATATCATTTGCCTATGCTCCATGTGGCATAGGCATTTCTCCACTCGCGGGTTCCATTTCCGCGCGCTGCATCCCCGGAGAGTCGTAGCTGAGGCACCTCTCCACCCTCCTCGCCCAAGAAAGGCCACGGGGGACGCGGGTTCCCGGGACTGGACAGACATGTGGCCCGGAGCCCTTTGAACGCCGCGAAGGGATGCCTGGATCCCAAAAGGCACTCTGCTTTTTGGATCCAACTCGCCGACGCGAGGGACCTGTCAGGCAGTTTGCGCGCGATGAGGTTTATAGTGTCATGCATCCATTGGGAGCAAGCCTCTCTGGCTGGTTGCTTGTGCCGAGGTTGCCTGAATTGTACTGGGATCTAACATCGGGCCATTTCGGAACTTAGTGACATCTTGTGCTGCCTGCAGATTGTCCCGAAAGGGTCCATTCGGTCAACTCTCCAGATCCCTGAGGTCCGTAGGCCATATCCGGAGCTTCAGGTGACTCTCCGAAGGGACGGCCTTCAGTCGCAAGCCAAGGCTCGGGGAGGGGTTTAGAGTCAGTCCAACTTGGATTGGTTTGATGACATTGCAAGTGGGCCAAAGGTGTACGTTGAAGGCAAAAGGAGCAAAAGCAAGAACCCAGAAATGCCGTTCCATGGCAGTCAGCACAGCCCTGGAGATGGAAGGAAAGCAATCCAAATGAGTCAGTTGCCTAATGTCAAGACTTGTAACCTTTGGTTATCCCGTATTTGATCCACCTGGGTGAATCATATCGACCTCACACGACCTCACCCAAAACGGTGATTTATGTGGGGAATATTCCCCCAATCACCTTATTTCAGGTTGGTGAAATATTATAATTCACCCAGATCCACTTTTGGTCGTGGCCCCCAGAGCTAGCATATGGTGATGCAGAACCACACTGGCAACGCCAACTGCGTCATTAGCTTTGATGAAGCTATCATATCCAGAACATGCATCAACATTGTGTCGATGTTGCCCAGGCCTTGAATACCATGAGAGGATTTTGAAAGTCATGTAAATACACCGACTTGATGAGCCACTAGCATCAAAGGCAACAGCAGATCGATTTGTTTGGGCCTGCTGTGGCGACAGGCTGAGTCGTCAGGCAGAGGTCTCCCGTCTAAACTTTCCAAGCTGGAGCCTTGTTCGTGCACTTGCCCTTTGACATCGTGGCAAGACAATTTCAAACCGGGGGACATCGGGCGTTTGAGCCCAGGCGAAGCGCGAAAGTCGGTGAACTCAGGCGGGCACTCGGTTCCAGCTCGGGACGGGAACGTGCTGAGGATTCCAAGTATGGCTTGTTTTACCTGTCAAACCTCAACCAAAAAAACCACCGGGTACCCTCAAGAAAATGCATCCCTCTGGGTATGTGTCTAGATGGCAACGTGCTTTTCACAAGAGCGAGGAAGCAACCATTTCGGGGTTGGCGAGATCCTCAAGTTTGACAACGCACCAAAACTAGCTGGCCGGCGGGACTTCGGTGATCATAGTTTCTCAGGGTTGCTCCAAAGCTTAAAACAGCGAGCACGAGACTTGGTTTGTCCAACCAATTTCCCACTGCGCCTTGTCTTGGAGCAAGCCTGTTTCTGCTCAAACTAGCCTGTTCAAAACCTGGTCCCCAATGATTAGCGGAGTGCGGATTGTGCAATTTGCGGATTGGATTACGCGGTTTATAGATCACGGATCATTAGTTACATGATGTTGCAGTGCTCCATCATAAGGTGTCGGCTCTGTCTTTGCAGAGCGGATTACGGATGAAGAACATTCCAATGAACCAGAACAAACCTTAGCCGGATTACGAATTGTGATTAGATGTTAGGCCAGTGACTGTTGAACATGCATCAAGAAGAGGAGTCAGGTGTCTTCTTTTTCAAGGTGAATTGGGGTGCCTGACAACCCCACGGACAAGATGAACTCTTGGCGAATCACAAGGAATCCAAAAGCCGTTTACCTTCCAATGCAACCCACCAGAAGATCACTTTACTTGCTGGTGGCAATTGGAATGACCCCTATAAACGATCCCCCATATATAATTTCCTTTAAGGGAATCCCCAGGTTCATTCCCTTATTCCCTACTGAGCACCCTCAAGTTTGGAGGGCGAAAGTCTTCCAGAAACCACTTAGTTGGGTGCCGTGCGATGCACCCAGGATCGGATGTGCCGAAAAGTCGGCCGTCGCTGGCGTCGAACCATTCAGGCGCCTTCGTTTGCCGACTCAAGAGGATGTGGTTTGTGCACAAGGAATTTTGCAGTAATGCGGTAACTTAAAAGCTCCTTACTCCTGAGGCAATTCTCTGTGGCGAGCACATAGCATCCAAGCTCTATGTGCTGTTGGGGGTCTTTGAACACCACACAAGGGAGCCCCTCATTGCAATATCACTACTTGGGCCAAATCTATGGAGAAGGGGCCACAACTTCTTGCATCCATTGACGATTTTGGCGAATGATCAGATTGAAGCTTTGGGAGTCGCTCAGGACTAGTTTGCCATCATTTCCTGTTGGCCGAAAGGCCTTGTTGCATGCAAGGCGGTTCATTATCACGACATGGATGTGTCTTCAAATGAGGGACCGCCGAGAACAATGGCTGGTTCCCTTTGGCTTCCCTTGAGGTCTTCACCAACTCCAAACACGCCATGGCACCAACTCGAAAGCGGCATCCGCTGGCTTGGCAACACCGGGCCGCCTTCCAGAGTGCTCTGCGAAGCGCGGGATTTTCTGATTGGTTGACTTGTGGGTTGAATTTGGCCCGGTGTCAACACCCCCTTTTTTTCGACAAGCCTTTTAACATGTTTCGTGCTCGTTCGGAGTGGAGCCGCACCAATCTCTGCCTGCGCTTCCGTGGAATTTCTCCAGGTGATGTGCCCAAAAGTCGGCCGTCACTGGCCTCCAATCTGTCAGGCGCG